AGAATGAGAGAGAGAATGAGAAAGAGAGAATGAGAGAGAATGAGAAAGAGAGAATGAGAGAGAATGAGAATGAGAGAGAGACTTTAAAACATCTCCCAACTTCGCTTCCAACCTTCGGACATCCTCCAGAGTGGTGTCTCCCCCCCCCCCCCCGGGCCTCAGTTTCCCCAGCGTCCCTCAAATGGCGCCCTTGGCAGGAGCTGCATGGTTGGCGGTGGATGTTTTTAAACCTGGGATTCTTCGTTAACACTATTCCAGTTTGGTGATCTCTGCTTGGTTTCCGCTCCCAGGCTTAAAAAAATGGGAGATTGCTGAAGCAGCAAGGTTGAATTGGGTCAGTCCCAGGGCTGAAGTCGCCAACCTAGCTTCTCTTAGACGCCGCCCTCCGGGATCGTAGAATTCGGGGGGGGGGGGAGGAACCCTTCCAATGGGGTCTTTCGAAGGAGAAAGGGGGGCAGCTGGCGCCCCGAAGGACGCCTGGATATATTCTGCATTTTCGAAGTGCCTTTTTTTTCTTTTTAAAAGAGAAAAGTTTGCCCAAGGAAAGGAAGTTTTGGGGAAAGCCAGGCCAAAACACGCGGAGAAGCACACTCCTAAAATTAACACAAAATTAAAACTTCCTTCTGTGCTTCCTGCCAGCCAGGTGGCCTGGGGGTCAAGTGGGGAAGATGCAAAGAGACCCAACCCCCCAAAACCCTAATCTGTCAGGGTATAAGCCTTTCCCTCGCTGGAAAAGTCAAATCTGCCTTCTGTCCCTTGCTTTGATATATATATATATATTTGGAAATGACAACCATTTCCCAACCTGGAATGTTTTTTTTTCCCCACCTCGATATAACGGCCGCCTTTGCTTAAAACAGAGGTCTCCAAACTTGGCAACTCTTTCAGGCTTGTGGACTTCCAACTCCCAGAATTTGAAGGCCAAAAGCCCGAAAAGTTGCCATGTTTGGGGACACCCCCCCCCCCGGCTTCAAACTCCCCCCCGTTTGGGTGTCTGGTTTGCCAAGAGACAGCTTCTTTTGCGAAGTTGTCTGGATTTGGGCAGGGCATGCATTTTGAGAGGCTGCCACGCGTGTTCAAACCTGTCTGTCTCCGGAACGGCCGGCTTCCTTCTTGAGCGTTTGCAAATGAAATAATGCTATTTTTTTTCTCTCCCCCTCCTCGCCCTGCAAAACTTTAAAAAGGAGAACATTTTCCTAGGTGCACAGGCCCCTTCTTGCCACCTGGCTTCTTAAACACTACTAATTGTGGATTTCTTAGCGAGGTTTTTTTCCCCCCCCCCAGGTGTGTGGATAGCTAAACGTGAACACTTGAAACGGTATTACTTCCTGGTCGTTTTTTTTTTCCATCCCCTTAAGTGCGCAAATGGGAAGGAAGAGATTTTCGTTTCAATAACACTAAAAAGGCCGGCCAATCCGGCCATGGATTTGCCACCGTTGCGTGGCCCTCGGTTAGCCAAACACCGCAATGCGTGACCGCAGCCTTTTTCAGGAGAAGCAGGTGAGAGGCCAGAGCAGGGCAGGAAATGAGCCAATCAGTAGCCCTGCCAGGTGTTTCTCTACCTGGAAGTTGGTAATAGATTACCCTGGCTTCTTCTGGTCATTTTTTATTTTTTTGCAATCGTGGCTCACAGCGCCTGGTGAAACTCGGGGGTGGGTACGGGGCCTTTAGCAAATTTGCACGGCTTGGGAGAGGCCTATTATTACTCCAGAGAGGGAGTTAGGCTCAGCTTTGGAAAGGGTCCCCACACCCACCCAATTTTGGGTTTCAGTGCTTCGCTGTACAGGTGGGGCGCAAGCTTTCGTGTCACCTTACAGGTAACAGGTGTGGGACAGGTCTCGAAACACATTTTTACAATCTTGGTGGTGTTCCTTGTTGGATGTTCTTCCAGTTATTCGAAAAGTTGGTGGGGAAAGGAAAGGAAAGAGAAAGAAAGAGAAAGAAGGAAAGAAAGGAAAAGACAAGGCAAGACTTTCCTCTCTCCATCTCCATCGTCAATCTTTGAGAAGGCTTTTCTTATACAGCATCCGTGGAGTTTTATATAATGTACAGACAAATGGTGTCTTAATAAAATTGTTTACATCCTTGTTGCGTCGTGTGCTGTGTTGGGATTCAAATTTTTTACTACCAGTTCTGGGGGCGTCGCGTGGCAGGGGAAGGATGTATTGCAGAAATCCTCCTTCCCCTGCCACTAACCTGCTTTCCAGCTCCGTTCTCCTGTACAGGGCAACCAAAGGAGACCCAGCCGATCAGCTGGGACTCGATGGGAGGCAGAGAAGAGATGGGATTGGTGGGGCCAGTCGGAGGCGGGATTGGCCGATTCTGTGAACTACTCAGAATTTCCGCTACTGGTTCTCCAGAACCGGTCCGAAACCAGCTGAAGACCACCTCTGGTTGTGTGGTTTGCTGTTCAGGTGTGTGCGAGCTGGGTACCTGAACAGCTGATTTGTGGGTGGACAGAAAGGGTCCATCCTGTTAAGCTGCAATTTTATTTCCACGGGGAATCAGTTAGGTACTCCTTGGCAGGAGAGAAAGGAAAATCTCGCCCTCCCGCGGATCTTTCCCCAACAACTGGGGTTTAGAGAAATGGGACAGGCATGTGTTTTAAAAGAACTTCGTGGTACAGTGGGGTGGGGAGGGGTCTCTTTTTTGGCATAGTCATCATCTTGGTCACGTTCCAACGTGCAGAGTGGCTTCTGGGCCTGGTCTTGGTGGGCTTCTCAGCTCTTGGGGCTGACTTGACTGGAGGACACTGAGGAAACCTCCGTCTTCTGAGAGACCACGTCAGACTCGTCCATCATAGGTTTGCCGCACACTGTTTCCATGATGCAGCCACGGAACTGGGAAGGGAGGGAGACAGGAGTTTTATGACTGCCTGAGAATTGGCCGAGAAGATCTCATAAAATACAGAATAGCAGAGCTGGAAGGGATCTCGGAGGTCTTCTAGTCCAACCCCCTGCTCTGGCAGGAAACCCTATACCATTCCAGACATGGCTGTCCAGTCTCTTCTCGAAAAGTGAAAACCTACAGGGTTGGGGCGCCCACAATTTCTGGTGGCCAGCTGTTCCACTGGTTAATTGTCCTCATTGTTAGGAAGTTTCTCCTTAATTCCAGATTGCTTCTCTCCTTGATTAGTTTCCATCTCTTCTTTCTTGTCTATGGAAGTCAGGGTTGTCCCCAAAGTGCTTTTTTTTCAAGAGGCAACTGGACTTTCTGGTTTTTCTTTGAAGATGTTTCACTTCTCATCCGAGAAGCTTCCTCATGAGTTGAAGAAGCTTCTTGGATGGGAAGCGAAACATCTTCAAAGCAAAAAGTCTAGCTGCCTCTTAAAAGTGCACATCCGTTCTTTCTCGTTCTGCTTTGAGATGCTTCGGATGGTCCCCGACTATCTTGTCGTCTTCTGCATGAGGCAATCTACACTATGATTGGTTGCTTTGGGTGGAAACGGGAAGTTTCCCTCCCCTTCCCGCGCCTTTTTTCTTCTGTGTGCTCTTCATGTTCTCTAGATTCACCTCACAATGTTCCTGTGTCCCTGACTATCTTGTCTGCTCATGCATGAAGCAATCTGCACTGTGATTGGTTGCTGTGAATATAAATGGGATGGGTTCCCCTCTTTTCCCACCTTTTTCTTCTGTCTGCTCTGCATGCTGTTTAGATTTACCTCAGGATAATTAATGCATGAAGCAATCTGCACTGTGATTGGTTGCTGTGAATATAAATGGGATGGGTTCCCCTCTTTTCCCGCCTTTTTCTTCTGTCTGCTCTGCATGCTGTTTGGATTTACCTCAGAATAATTAACCCTTTCCTTGCAGACTCTCAATA